GATTCTGTTCTCTCTAGAGCTTAACATTAATCCAGACAAGCAGAGTGCTTGTTAGAGTAATTTTTTCCCTATCTGAGAAAAGAAAAAAAAATAGAGACAGTCTTGAAGTCATCAAGACCATTTTTGCTAATCTTAACAGATCCTTTTCTGATTTTGAGTGAGCACCTATTACTTCTTTGTGAAATCTCACAGTCATTGTTTTATTTTTTACAAATGTTAATTTGAAATTTGCTTTGAAATATTATCATTAATTATATGCTTTATGTAATGTGAATTTAGTTAGGGTAATGCTAGTCACACTAAAGGAAAAGGTTTTAAAGCATTTAAAACACTTTATGTGATCATTTGTTATAAAAGATGTTTTCAATATTACATTATCATGTATTATATTGCAACTGTAAAACAATCCCAAACTCTTCCTCAACTTTATGGTGTGGCTTCTATTTACCATCATCTTTCAGATATTGCTGATAGCGGCTTAGCGATCATACCTACAAATTCTTTTAATACCCAAGAATATTGGGCCAGGTGACTTGAATTCATCATAGGCAACTAGGTGCTTTCTTATTATTTCCCTACTTATCTTGGAGGCCTTGTTAGCCATTTTTGTTCTGTCATTTCCTCTACAAAAGTCATTCTCCTTGGCAGAGAAAACTAGCAAAATATGAACTCGGCAGCTCTTCCTGCACTGTTTTCAGTTATCATCATCCTATCCATCCCAAGCAGAAATCCTATCCTTTCTTCAATCTTTCTATTTCTCCCAATATAACTTAAAAAAAAAAACCCACAAAAGTATTTGTTGTTCTTAAATTCCCTCACCAGCCTCAGCTCATTCTGAGCTTTAGCTCTCTTGACACTATTTTCTTTTTTTTCTTTTTCTTTTTTTTTTTTTTTAGGCAATTGGGATTAAGTAACTTGCCCAGGGTCACACAGCTGGTAAGTGTCAAGTGTTTGGTCTGAGGTCGCATTTGAACTCAGGTTCCTCCTGACTTCAGGGCCGGTGCTCTATCCACTGTGCCACCTAACTGCCCCACTTGACTCTATTTTCATAGGACCTTTCCACATTCTTATAATTATCTTCTTTCCTCTGGCCTTGCTTCCATCTTCTATACATTTCTCTTCAAAATCTAAGTTGGTTTGTGAGTTCCTGGTGTGTATCTACATACACATTTCTCTTCATATATTTCTCATTTTTTCTCTTAATTAGAATTATTTCCCCTTGTGTCTTCAGAATATTATTCTTGAATAAAGCCCCTCCTGCACTGACTTCTCCTTGTAGAATTCCCTTGTAGTTCATTGTGATTCTATATATCCTTCCTTTGAACCTTTTGAAATCTGCTTTCCCAAAATCTAGGGTGTATGTCACCCTGTGTCTGAATTTCCTCTTCTTCTGTATCATCAACTCTAGGACAGAATGGTTACTTCCCCCTAGGGTTCCTGTGATTTTTCACTAACAAGGAGAGGACCTAGTTTCTGGGGGGGGGGGGGTGAAAATTATCATTAAGTCAAAATGTGTTAGCTGTTCTACTCTTAGCAGAGAGAAAGCTCCAGCAGATGTCTGGATGATTGAAGTCTCCTGAACCTAACAAAATAATTGGAATCGTGCAATAAATTTTTACTTCTCTGGTACTCTATTACTTACTTAGACTTTAATAGTAAAATGCAGTGGGTTCTCTTTTATTGTAAGATCATCTACAGGCAAAAACTGATGATATTTGATCATACTGTAGGCATGAATTTTGTCCCAGATTTCACTAGTCTGGAACAGCACACTTTAGAAAATCTAACTTACTGTGAGCATCATTATGTATTTCTAATGATGTCACTTTACACCTTACAACAGCTGAAGACTTTAGTCAGCGCCATCCTTGAATAGATCCCTTGCCCCACACCTATATGGGACATTAGGAAATCCCCTTAACCTCAACTGATGCTACTTCTTACTCTTACTATGCTATCCAGAGACAGTGTGGAATGCTTAATAAACTTGGACTAGGACTACTTGGTTTGAGTACCCACATTTTCATTTATAAGCTGTATGCCCTGGGGAAGTCATTTAACTTCTCTGAGACTCTGTTCTTCATCTGTAAAATGGAGATAATAATCCTTGCCCTGCTTACCTCTTGGGATTGTAGTAAGAAGCAAATGAACATGTTGTAAGCATAACATAGCTGTATGCATGTAAATTATTGTTAACCTAAGAGATTCATTCTTTTGATTAGGGAGGCAGGATAGTACAATGGAAAGAATAATGGATTTGTAGTTAGTGAATCTGGCTTCAAGGCTTGGCTCTGCTGCCTTATTACCGAGTGACCTTGGACAAGTAATTTAATCTTTCTGTGTCTCAGTTTCCTCATTTGTAAAGTGAAGGTAGGGTAGTTAAACCTCAAGATTCTAGCTCTAAATCTATAGTCCCATGTTTAAGGAATTAAAATCTTCAAGAGTTCTTTGCTAAAATACGCTGACCATATATTATATCTCACTCTGCCAGCTTACGAGGCATGTTAAGAGGCAGGGTGTGGAAGAATTATATTATATGATTTATCACTCTCACAAACAACTAGAGTTCACCACAGGGAGGGCTGATATATAGAGCTATTATCAGCTATTAACCCTGAGTAGAAGAAATAACTTATTCATCTTTGTAATTTTTGCTGTGCTTTGCACATAAGAGGCACTCAAATATTTGTTCTGATTTTTTCTTTAAAAAAAATCATATATTGAGCAGCTAGCACATGCAAAGCACTACACTAGGTACTGAGGATACAAGGATAAAGAGATGTGGTCCCTGCCTTCAAAGAACTTAGTAGGGAGAAGGGAGAATGTTGTTTAATGAATGATTTTTGGTTCAGTTCAGCAAACATTCAGTGAATGAATGAGATCCTTTCTGGGGACAACTAGGTGAGAGCTGTATAGCAAAGGAATGTGTCATAGAAAAATTGGCTTGGGAGTTGGATAGAAGAGAAAGAGATAAATCCTGAGTTTGGAGCATCATAGTAGGAGCCATGGGTAGCCAGGGAGCAACCCTGGGTGCAGTGGTGGGGGAGCAAGGCATAAAACAGGAGAGGAACATTGAAAGGAGGTATGAAGCTTCTTGGCCTATTTCACATGTTAGCCAAGGGTCAGTCTAGGATTTAGCATTTTCTTCTTGACTCTGCCTTCACCCCTAGAGAGAGGGTGGAAGGCAGGCACATAGACAAAGCCTGAGTCACTTCTTTGGGGAAAAAAAAGCAAATGGCAGGTTTCCCCATGACCTGATTCCAGCTAAGAGTAAACAAATGACATGTTCCTATATCCAGTGGCTATTAACTCTGAGAGGAAAAGAACAGGTGTCCACCAACACCAGAGAATAGGATCACAGTTGCCTACCCATGCTACCTCTCCAGGGGTGTATGTAATAGCAGCCTACTCACCCACTGGCAATAGGCAAAGTTTAAAAAAAAAAAACAGCTGTTGGCCACCCTGCTGGCGCCAGAGGGAGTAAGGCATCTTCTTCACAAACTGCTGGCAATAGGGGTAAAGGATAGCTGGATACTTATCCTCATTGGCAAAGGGCATGGAGAAGGATAATACAAAGAGCAGCTGTACTGCTTGGATTTGGCACAACAATTACTTTTGATGGGCAAAAAGCCGGCCTCATTAATCCAACGAAGCAGGGTACAGACAAGGGATGCACTGTGCCTAGAATATCTCCCTCCAAGTTGTTTCAGATGAAGGCCTGGTGCCCTTTTAATGGTAGATGCTATTTCCAAAAACAAGAAATCAGAAAAACCACATAATGGACCAGTAGGCTCACATTATATGCACCCTGTCATGGGTTTCTCTGAATTTATCAGATTGGCCAGCTGTTCAGCTGTGTCCTGGCTAAGTTCATGGGATGAAGAGAGACCTAAGTCATTGTCATTATCCCTCCATCCAAAAGGATCAAAATCAGTATGAAAGGAAAACTCTGATGATCTGATAGGCAAAGAGACCTCCCCTTCTCTCCACTACACCTAGCCCTGGTATTCACCTACATTACTTTTGGCCTCATGTGATGTTCTATCTTGCCCTACTGAGAAAATCACTGAACACAGACATCCTACTTCTCTTTCCACCCAGTTCTAAGCACCAGGGAGGAAAGCATAATCAGGTACGGTATTTCCTGTGCCTATGTTTGTCTTGTATCTGCAACAATGATAAGGTTGCAAGAGGCACTCAGGGAACATCTATTTTGCTAAGGATGGAACTTCCTGATATGAAGGTTCCTGCCGGAGAGCTCACTCAACTAGTCACTAGGTTCCTGAGCCGTGGATGATGAGAGTGTATTGAGGAGCTGTCTTATGTTGTGTCATTGCCATAAACAGCCACAACACATACCACAAGGAGGGTGAGAAGTCTGCAGGCTTATCTCTGAAATGGTTACACATATCACTAAACAACCAGGAAGGCAGTCAAAATGACCTGGCCTGTTTCTTTTTTAAGTTACTCATCAGTCCCTAGACTCATCTGACCCAAGTATAAGCAAGAACAGAAATCAGACATCAGGTTGGAAGGAAGTGTGAATGTAAAAGAGAAGCCAAGTCAAACTCTGCTTGGTTCTTTTAATAACAAGCTATGCTGTGTGGGAGTAAGGCAAAGGGACAGCTGCCACATGTGGACACCAATTGTGCCGGGTGAGCAGGCAGCATCTGAGGGACTTTTCTACCCTCAGATACCTCACGGCAGGCAGAGTTAGTACTTTCACAGTGACACTCCCCATCCTGTCAGGAACCTGAAAAGGGTATGAGAGGGCAAGAAGTCAGTCCAGTTAATCCGTGAGGAGGGCTTGATAATGGAGTGAGTAGAAATTGATCTATCCATATAACAACTCTTTCCCCAACTTTCCTACTACTAGTCCTGGAAACTGTAAAGAATTTCTCTGGAACTTTGTGCTAAAACCAACTTTCTCTGGGATAAAACTTCATTCAGTGGCAAGACAAAAAGACTACTTCTCTTATTTTCCATGATTTACATTGCTCTATTTAGTAACCCTTTTAATGTTTGCTAATTAGTTCCAGTAACAGGAGTGGAAATTATTTCTTCTGAGAAACTCAGTTATATTACTAAGCTGTTAAGGGATTTGTATCCTGTTGGAGGCAGGACATCCCCAGTCCTTGATTCTCATATGTTCCCCTCCCTGATAATTTCATATGTTTTCTACAGTTGCACAAAAGGGCATTGCAAAATTTAGGAACAGATAGCATTTTTCATTTAGTAAGAATCCTGTGGAATGTAGATGGAGTGGAAACAGTAGTCCAGGAGAAGAACGGCATTTCAGGAGGGATTCAGCCTGGTGCTTGGATATCAAGGAGAGAAGGTGCTGGCCATGGCACTGGGAAAGAGGCTGAGGAGCTGGCTTACGGCTCGGCGTTGTGTTTGATCAGGTACCCATTAAAGGTGATGTAGGTATCAAACTCATCACTGAAGATGGCATTCTCCCGCTCCCCCTTGAAGAGCCGTACCCACACCTCATCCTGCTCCTGAAGCTCCAACATCAGGCTCTGGCTCTGCATGATGCTTCGGTCGCTCACCTGGGCATAAAGTATCACCACCTCAGCATCATTCTTCATGATGTGGAGATAAGTCTCCTTCTGATTCCAAGTGTGCACATTGAGGCTGAAGAAGTAGATGCCCGGCACGTAGCAGTAGAATTTCCCTGTGAACATGTTGAAGTGACTGTAGAGGTTAACAAATTCCATGTCAAAAATCAGCGTCTGGTAGTAATCGTTGCTGTGCAAGGGCTTCTTCCGTCCCACTGAGAAGGCGGCGTAGTGGTTCTTACATCGATCCCCAGGAGCCCCCATTGTGCCCTTCTGTCCCTTTGGTCCTACATGGCCCCTGGCACCTATTGATCCTGTTTTGCCATATTTCCCTTGGAGGCCTCGCTCTCCTCTGTCACCTTTTTCACCTAAAAGAGATATAAAAAAAAACATATAGCATTAACTGGTCTACCCCTTTGTTGTCATCCCAGGAATCAGGCTTCAGTCTCTGTTCCCTCATACTCTCAGCACCTGACCAACGGTTCCCAGACTAATTCTTCATTCATGGGCCAACCTGAAAATTCTAACTTCTACTTTGGTTGTCCCAACTTTATTTTTCATATCCTGGGCACAGGGATGACTTGATTCCCAAATAATCCATTCAAACAGCATCAACCCCAAGGAACTTTCTATTTTGATCCAGACCCAACATTTTTTTTTCTTGAAATCCCTGGCAAGGAAAAAGGGAACATGTGGGTTTGTCCAAAAGCAGCAGTTTCAGTGACCAAGCCCATGGCTCACTTTAAGCGAATTAACTGCAGATGTCGGAGCTCCAGGATCCAGCCTCCTCACCACAAAATCCAGGTCACATGTGTTCCCAGTTAGATTTTGCAGTGTTGTGCAAGGTTATCTGATGCTCGCAGTATTGTGGCGTTCAGGTGGCATTTCAGAAAACAGGCTGGGGAGCACCAAACCTCAAAACAAAGAACAAAGAAACTTGCAGTCAAGAATGCAAGTATGGGGAGAAGAGACCCAAACTGTCTCTATGCCTTGTTATTCTGCTCTGTATTATCCTAGGGATTCATCTCCTGACCCATATCCTGAAGAGGTAATCACAACCTTGCCTAGAATCTCAAAAGTAGGGGAGGAATTTCCTTCTCTCCCCTCTAGGCAAGAAGTTATCATGGCCTCATAGCCCAACCTGCCCCAGAAGAATTTATTCAACTCCCTCCTAATTAGAGTATTCGTGCTCAGCTACAGGGAGTAATCTCCTATAATCATTTTTGAAGCAGTCAAAGAACAACACCATCTCTCTCACCTTTTAAGATAGTGATATTGATCTGAGGCATTGGCATTGGCATTGGCATTGGCTGGTACATGGGGTTGCCAGAGTCACAACAGTGTAAACATTTCGAGTGAGAGGGCTGCTCTTCCAGGCTGGGGTTGTTCTTTTCATGATGATCTTCAACCCTGAAGGAGAAAGGATTACAGAAAAGAAAATGAGACCTTCTAACTAAGGAGTCACCTCTTTCAGTTGAATAACTTCCACACGATTGAAAGGAGAATTGGATTTTGAATCAGAGAACCTGGTATCAAATCCTAGTTTTGCCAGTGTATAATCTTGGACAAATCACTTAATCTCTCTGGACCTTGGTTTCCTCTGCTATGAAAAAGAGAGTTGGACTAGATGACTTCAAGGTTCCTTCCAGCTCTAAATCTATGATTCTGTGAGAGCTTAAAATATGATCCCAGTGGCTATTCACCCTCCTAGCTTCTATGCTGAAGGAGTGCCTAGTCTTTTTCCAAAGAAGAATCAGTGAGTTTAAATTCTATGCATACCACCCTGTTTCCCCCCAACACCCACCAAAAAAATATTTGGAAGGGATCCTTTACCCTTTATTAACCAACCACATTCAATTCAACAAATGTTCATCAAGCGTCTATTTATTACCATGCAAGTCATTGTATTAATCTTTGTTAATTAGAAAATAATTAATGAAAGATGCAAGATTGTGTAGGTGCTATTTACACCAATGATGGATCAACATGTAAAGAGATCAGGTCTCATCAACCCATCAACAAGCATTTATTAAGTATCTAATATATGTCAGGCACTCTGCTAGATGATACAGCTACAAAGATGAAAATGAATCTGTTTGGGACTGGGAAATGTCTTGAGGGATGATCTAATACAACCCCCTCATTTTAAAGATTAGGAAACTGAGTCCCAGAGAGGTAAGGTCACAGATAGTAGATGGCAATTTGGATATTGAAACCAGGACTTTTGACTGGACATCTGGTACTCTTACCACTATGCAACTAATAGCACAACAATAATGCATATCAACATGGCCATCAATAAGTTAAGGACTTGTGATCTTGTCCAAACACCAGCATAGGTCACATCCCTTCTATATTGTAAAGCTTGTCAGATTCATTGCATCTAGACTCAGCCTGACTACTGTTGTTGTTGAATCGCTTCAGTCATGTCTGACTCTTTGTAACCCCATTTGGGATTTTCCTGGCAAAGATACCGAAGTGGTTTGCCATTTCCTTCTCCATCTCATTTTACAGATGAGGAAACTAAGGCAAACAGGATTAAGTGAGTTGCCCAGGGTCACACAGCTAGTAAGTGTCTGAGGTTGGATTTGTATTCAGGTCTAAGTGACTCCAGAACTAGTGCTCTATCCACTGTGCCACCTCGCTGCCCACCATGTGGCTAGAGTTACATAGAGTTACATTACTCACAGAGCAAGTAACTTGCCCATGGTCACCCAGCTAGTCAGTTTCAGAGGCTAGATCTTAAATCCTGGTTTTCCTGATTCAAAGTTTATCCACTGTAGCACAATGCCTCTTATTAATTAACAGGATAAATCTAAGTTGCATAGAACACCTTTATTTATATGAAAATAATAATAGTCAAATATAAAATAAAATAAATTTGTGGCCTGGTTCCTCACCTGTCCCATATGAAGGTTATTTTAAAAAATTATCTACAAGACCTCTTTCAGTTCTAACCTTCTATACTCTACTGTAATGTTAACATGTTGAAATTGGATAGAACAGAAAAATCACTAGGACTATAAGGCAACAGTTTCATGCTACCATCTAGTGGTGTCTTGTTGAATTGCACCGGGATATCTTGAGTCCAGGACAACTTTTGACTAGGCGCTCTGGATCACACAGCTGGTGCTACATAGACTGGGAAATAGTGGTCTCATTAGGCTTAAAGTTTTAGACTAGAATTACATAAGGCTCACACAAGTGAAGTGATCTGCCCATGGTTACTTAGTTTGTCATATTATTGTGTCTAGACCCAACCTAACTCTCTTAATTCTAGATTTTTTTTCTATCTAAAATAGAAAATTAAGTCCAGAGGTTGCCCATATAGTTCCACTCTGCTGCTTTGCTCTCAACCCAGCTCGGGTCCCCTTTCCTATGTCCTCAAAACAGAGTTAAGGAACAAGTGAGTTCAGTTTTCAAGACAACTAAGAGGTAAAAGAAATGAGGTAACAATTTCAACATAGGCTTTTTTTTTTAGTCTTACAAGGAACTCAATGTACTTTATAAATATTATCACAACACCCCAGATAGGTTAGAGTCTACACACCCAGGGCAAGATAGATTCCAAGTTTTTTCCATGGAACAGCCTTCTCTGATCTTGCTGACTTAATAAGAAAATACAAGTCATAACAGAACAAGAGGGAAAAAAAGTGGTCCAGTGAAAAAATTAAAGATTTAGAGTCTGAGGACCTGGGTTCTAAGTCTCCCTCTGCCTCCATACTACCTGTGCAAGGTTAGGCAAGTTGATCTTTGGGCCTTAATTTCATCTATAAAATGAGGGGGTTGGACCAGAACTTCTAGTCCTAAATGTATGATTCCATGATGTATCCTATGATTCTTCTCCACTAGAATCATAGGATTCAGGACTAAAAGGGACCTTAAAGGTCAACCAACCCTTTCTTTCTACAGGTGAGGAAACTGAGTCACTGAAAAGTTAAGTGACTTGTCCAAAGTCAGACAGATAAATTAGCAGTGGAAACAGGACTTATCTTATGCATCCCCACATTCCTCTACATGTTGGAAGAAGGCTAAGACTATTCAGTTTTTTTTTAATTAACTCAACCATTTATTAAGTACTTGTGCTAGATAGACAATGAAAATATAAAAGATGAATAGGATACAGATCATGCTCTCAATGAACTTACACTCTAAGAGTAGGGAAAGATGTGCACTTATATAGATAGTTATAATACAAGTACCATGGTATAAAGGACAGAGTATTTGTATTGAAGTCAGGAAGGCCTGTGTTCAAATATGAAAAAAAATGTTATAGACATTGCTGATCTTCATCAAAGGAAATTTCTGTACTGGTAGTTAGCTATGTGCATCCAGACTAAAAGATTGTTCACTTTCAAGATAATGCAACTGAGTCACTAACCAGAATGTTCTGCAGATTGTAATCTAACAGAAATGCTAGGCTTAGAACCCAGGAATCTTGTCTTGTTAGCCAAGAGCTTTAGACATAGTAGTTAAGTGATAAGTTTGTGAAGCTGGGAGACCCCACATCAACCAATTAACCAATGATTAAGGGCTCACATTCATAAAATCATCGGATTGAGAATTCATAAAAGCTCATTTTGATCAAAGCGGTCCAATTCCTCTGATTTTACAAGGGAAGAAGTGAGATTCTAGAGAATAAATAACTCCCAAGGTTATAAGGTAGTCAATGGGAGAGTCAGGATTTGAATCCAGGTCCAGGACTCTTTTCATTATACCACACCACCAGGACAAATAGCTCACATAGTCCCAACTCGCATGCCTTATACCAATGCCCCCAATGTCTCACTTTTCAGTGTGATCCGGCAATGGTGATGGTAGGGCCTCCACCTTAACCTCTTCCTGAGTCTCCTCCTGGTCCTTCTGAGGTTGCTGCTTTTGTGATGCCCTGCCCAATGCTGTGTCACACCAGAGGAGTGTCAGCAGCAGGAAGGATCCAGAAATGAATCCCAATTTGCGGGAGCCAATCATTTTTCCTGGCTCTAGGATAGAAAGAGAAAGAGACACACAAGGAAGGTTAGAGAGACAGAACCGTTGCAGATGAAACAATAACTGAGGTGCCTACCTCTTATCTACAGCTACGGGAAATGCCTCTGCTGGGGCTCATTTTGATCTTATAAATTATAATGATAAAAACTACAACCTGAGATCTGAGACCATCTGTTTGAGGCTGGAGAGATGGGAACTGACTGGCTAATTGCTTAGAGTAATAGTCACTGCCCTGACAGGCTCCTCCCAAAACCTTGAAGAATGAGAAAAATGGAAATTCACATTTAGAGCTCCATTAACCGTTGCTATCCCAGTTATTAGACACCCAGTTATTTAGAGGAAGCCAGATATGATGGAATGAGCACTAGACCAGGAGCCAGATGGTTTGGGTTTGAAACATTGCTCCATGAGTCATGGAGTTGTATGAAGAGTAAGCTACCTCAAGTTTCTAAGCCATGTTTCCTCATCTGTAAAATGGAGATAACAATCCTTGCATCACCAACTCACAGGGCTGTTGCAAATATAAAAAGAAGTACAGGGTAACCCCCAATCTGCTGAACTGGGGCTGGGCATGCATGGCTCCATGGACAGACATGTGCTCTGGCTCAGTGCTGAAGGATATGGTTAACAAGCAGCTTCTAGTAGTCTTTGTGTGTCCCTGTGATTAAGTGAAGATGGCTGACAATTGAGACAGGAAGAATTACCCTCACTAGGCTCTAAGAGCAATTTAAAAAAAAAAAAAAAAGCAAAGACAAAATTCTGCTTTCTGCTCTTTTTGGCTATTCCTTGGATTTCCATTAGGGAGAGGTAGGATTTCCCTCCCCTGCCCATGGCATGCAATAATGACAGCATACACACACAGTAGCAAGAGCATGGACTTGCTTATATGAGCCTGAGACTGGAACTGAGGTTTCTAGCTCCCTCTTCCTTTTCGTATTTCTTTCCCTGAGCCTGGGCCACTGAAGGGCAGTCCTGAGAAAGGGTCATTTCCAGCCCTGTCAGGTAACCTTCTTGGGTTTCTGTTGAATAATTGAAAGGTTGGGACCTGGCTGTGCAGTAGAAGGTGATTTCCTCTACATTTTCTCAAAGGAGAAAATGATAGCTACCAAGAGAATTCTGTAGCTAAAAAGACTAATAACATGGAAGTCGTATCATGTCTTACCAAGAAATATGGACTTCTGAGTTGCTCAGACTCAGATCTAAGGTGAACGTGAAATATCTTTCGAGCAGTTCTACAAAGTTGTCTTTAACTCTCAGGAGACTATAATAGGTGATGGACTACTCTTTCATGTTTTAAGTATTCATTAATGTGCACTTATGAAGCTTTTGGATTTTAAGCATTTAGTTTGTGGTGAAGGAAATAAATGCTATCCTATACCTGATATCTACTTTATATATTGAGCATCTCTTCTAGAAGCGACCCAATTTTTTTTTCATTTAATAGAGACCCTAGACATGAACCATACCTAAGTTTTATTTTAAGAGATTTCCTGTGGCACTCTGGGGTGAGTGCAATGAGCCAAAGAGTGAGAGAAAAGCCCTCTCCTCTGGGATAGAAATCTAGGTCCATGTGAATCCAAAGCCAGGGTCCTTATGGAAAGGAGGGCTCTCCCTGGGTCATAGGTGACACAAAGAAAGTGTTAAGTGAGCTGGACTATTATAAATGTGAACTGTTATTACTGGACCCATTTAGAAAAGGAGAAAAATCCCAAGTGAATTTGGAGTCACTGAAGTTGATAAATCATCCCTTGATTGCACTCTGTGTGATACTGGATTATTTTCTTCCATTGTCCCTCTCTGGTAAATTAGGTAGTTAGGAAAGTAGGTAAGTTAACTACAATAGTCCTCTAGGGAATTATTTAATATGCCTCCTGAAGCATCTAATTTAGAAAGAGTTTTCCTGCCCCCTTCAAATGATACTACTCTAATCCAACCTTCATTTCCCTTTCATATCTGCTTTCTTAAAAAGCTTTAGACCTTAAAATCCTTAACAAAGTCTCAAAATGTTCATTCTTGAAAAAAGCTGTAGAGTGTTTGATGAATTACCTGTGGCAGGACAATTCTTGAATTTAAAATAAGGAAAATTTTATACACATTTTCACCATTTAAAACTGGGCACTTTAAGGCTCTCTTGGATAGTGTCAAGTTAGATGGGATTCTACAGTATGAAGCTAAGCCTAGCCCTGATGCTTGTATACACTAAACCTTGAGACTGATAATCTCACAGGGGTCAGAATGACATGTCATCTTTGATGAAGTCCAATCTATCAGACCTGGCTTTACTTATAGATTGCTAGACTCCTATAGCTGGAAGGGGTATTAGTAGCTAACCTCATTGTTTTAGGAGTATAGAAACTGAAGTCTAGAAAGGAAGTGATTTGCCCAAAGTCACAAAGCCAGTTTGCTGTGGAGTACAAGTTAACTGGGACAAAGTAAAATAGTTAAATTTATTTACTTCTACAATGAACCTTATAATTTTTTTACATCTATAAAAAAACTTAATATGCAATATATCCTGCTTTTGCTGCAATCATTTGTTTTACACAATTTGGCATTGAGTTCCCAAGATTATAACACATATTCTTTGCCACAAACCAACACATTCCTTTGGATATTAAGATATTACCTTTGATGAACAGCCTATTTTCCCAAGTCAAGCTTTAATTATAGGTCAAAGTTTTTGTGGTGGGAATTATATCCTAACCCCTTACCTCCATGAAAGTTAAGATAGTTTTTTCCTCAAAAGGTATTGAAACTATCTTTGAGATAAAATTCTCAGGTAACTAAAGCTTTGGGCTGTTAACAACCCTTCTAGTTTGCCTGAGTACAAAACGGCCACAAGGAACTCCAGGTGCTTTCTGATGTTTGACTAGTGGACCACCTGCAGCAATTTCAGAGGCAGGGTAGCTTCACTCAGATAAATCAACTTGCAGTATCCTCAATGAATAGAATATCTTTGTCCTTCTATGGCTAAGTAAATCTCCTTTTGTTAACTGTTGAATGACAACGAGATGTCTCATTCCATTCTAATATCAGATTTAAAATACCAGGGAACTGTTTTAAGACAGGCCCTGCCCACACAGGTTTTCAATTTTAAATCAGGTGAGTTCCCAGATTATTGAAGCAAATTTCTCTCTCTCCCTCTCTTCCTCTCTCCCTCTCTTCCTCTCTCCCTTTCTGCTTCTCTCCCTCTCTCTCTCTGCCTCTCTCTCTCTCTCTCTCTCTCTCTCTTTCTCTCTGTCTCTGTCTCTGTCTCTCTCTCTCTCTCTCTCTCTCTCTCTCTCTCTCTCTCTCTCTCTCCCCCTTTCTCTCTCACACTAATTTCTTAACCATTTGTGGCATGGTGCAGAGATGTGTTTTGCAGTATTTTACAAGAGATTGGGGGAATTCCTGTAATTTTACAACATTTATTCTCCTCAACATATTAATATATTTATCAGTTCATCATTCCCTCAATGACAACAAGACTTATAGGCCCACTGGAAATAAAAAGTCACCCAAATTTTTCAGGTGGATGTCTAGTGAAGACATTCAAACTTTACAGGGCCATCTAGATGACTTCTGGTTTTCATATGATCTTCAACGAAAAAGTGAGTTCTGTCAGTAAAAAGTACTTTTGAGAAGCATCAGTACTCCATATTTTGTATTATCTTGCCCATAATAAGCAATTTTTTCTTCATAGCAACAGTTGTTTGTCCTCCGTTTTCAAAGAGAACCAATAACATCACAGGTGATGTCTTGACTCATGAGTGAATTGGATTTTAGTGAGACAGAGTTGTGCAAAGTCATCAGCTTCACTCTCTCTTCCAGAGTCATCCAAGTTCAGTGGCAAGACAAAATTCAGGATGACTGTTGATGGCCTGGAATGCAGTCAATGATCTTGGCACTTTCAACGTCTGACCAAGCTCTGAGTGCTCCATAAGTGCCTGTTTCAGCCTCCTTCATAGCCATTGGAACAAATTGTTCTCTATGTTTTCTGGCATTCTCACCATTTTTCCAACTTAGACAAACCTATGCCTCACTGTAGAGGAATCAGTAACAACCCCTCAAGGTTCTAGGTCCCTCAGAAGGTCTTTACTTTTTTCCTGAAGATTAATTAGGCTGTATCACCTAACAAAGCTTGGTGGGTTCTTGGCACTATTTTTTGTTGTCAGCTGTCCTGTTCGTGCTTTGATGTAATTGATTTTATTTCATCGTCGGTTTGATTGATCCTTGAAACACCAATAGCCACTGCAATACCTCTAACAGTCATTGAAATGTGCTCTTTAAGAACTATAACTTTTGCACATCTCTTTGAATAATACCCATTCTTTAAAACCACAGAATTAAAAACACAACAAATGAAATACATTTGTAAAGAACTAAATCTAGCAATCAATTGGCAGAGAACTCACTAAAAATGTGGAAACCAGCTCAATCCAGTTGGATCTGGTCAAGGTTTTGAGTCACAGACACATATGGCTGCTGTTACATAATGAAATCATGTCAAAATTATTGTTCTCTTAAGTAATTTGTACACTACTGTATCATCAAATTGGCAATAGAATATAGATCACTTGTGCTCCCAGTCCAAAACTATGAGGAAAAAAAATCAAGCTTTGTCAAGAGGAAATGAAGAGGGAAAATTTGTAAAGGTCTTTTGCATGATTTTTTAAAAAATCATTTTATTGGTGTCACTAATACAGCAACAAGATTGCTTTCATCAGTTTATCCAAATGAGTTGTGTCGTTTTTTCTTTGTGTGATGATAAATACCTTTTCCAATGATTCTGACATTAGTTCTGACATTTTAAAAATTTGTGCAGGAAGGACTCTTTTCTTTGATTGTTGGAAATTATTTTCATTGTATATGTAAAGTAATTGATAAAATTCTGGAAGATCACTTCCTTGGCAATACCTGAGTGATGGATGAGACAAAGGCAGCCTAGAGCACTGGGTAAAACTGGCAACTTCAGCTGGGAAAGAATTGATCACTGAGCTCAAGATGAGTCAACTTTTCGATTTACAAATGAGGCAGTGTTCCTCAGACAAGAAATAAGAACTTAGTGGATATAATATTGCATT